TATCTATCTATCTATCTATCTATCTATCTATCTATCTATCTATCTATGTTAAGGTGTATGTCAAATAGTTTTTGAGAAATTACAGATGATGTCAAAATAGATTGGGGCAACATGAATTAGACTTGGTAGAACTTGTAAAAGAAAAAAAGGCACTGAAAAGGAGAACATGCTGGAGACCAACACAAAAATACTCCCAGTGTTTTCTTCAACATCTTTTTTGTTCATCATTTGCTTCCTCTCTGCCTCCTTTTCTGCTCTGGAGTCCCCATTGGTTTTCATAGATGACATGTGGGCGAGTCTTGCAAGGAAAACCTGTGGGATCTATTTAAAGCTTGCCTTTGTTTCTGACTTCCACCCACAATTAAAACAACTACACTGTTCTTTGGTCAGAGGGAGCTGAGAGCTCAGCAGAGAGCTGTCAGTCTGAGCGGTCATTAGCCTCATGCAACCCTGGCATGAACTGACTTAACGCTCAAGAATGAAGAGTGTTTGGGGAGACTTATGGCTTATGTCTTCTCAACATATTGTAGAAAGTTTTCTATTTTACTTTGAATACTAAAACAACAGAAAATAGGCATCCGCACCAATCTTTATTTTACAGCTGTACTTTAAAAGTGCCTCATCACAAAATGTTTAAAGCTTCTCCAAGAATGACAAAAGATTTTGGAGGGAGCATAATTTATTCACAGACAATGAATAATTTCTTTCATAAACATGGGCATGTTAACTGGGATAATAGTAAATCCATGTTATGCAGCTTACTGAGCAGCAGATGAATAATGCAGGATCATATACACGTCTATTCACTGAAAATTCTCTGTGAATCGTTCAATCTGTAAATACTTAGTGTGCACTTACATGCATTATTCTGCATTATCTGTGAGAGAAGGCTGACCGAAAAGCTCTATTAGACTTATAATCATGGCCAAGACTGCATGTTTTTCTGAGTTGATGTGAGAACCGTCTTGACTGTAATCTACTGTGGATGTCATATATAGGTGAGGTTTCCAAGCTTACTTTGCAAACAGGTTTCTTTTTCAGGGAATTATATGATCCTCAAGTCTAACAGTGTGTACAGTGTTTTGCATATTCATGCATCAATATGTATTGTATAACACTTCACTGGACACTAAGTGGGTGAAGTTCATGTTTATCCATAACTGATTAACAAATGTTTTGATTAATTGAGTGTTTGAATAGGAACAAAAACGTCAGTAGGTGAACACACACATAGTACACTTTAACGATTTAATTGACACGTTTTTTCATTTGTATTCTATTTATGTGAGCCAGCCTCCAGTAAATCTAGCAAAGTGAACTGTGTGACAGATGAGCCCAGTTAAGGACAAAGCGGTACTGTCAGGTGTCTCATCAACACATTTCAACAAGAAAGCTCAAGGGGGCAGAGCACCAGAGCACAAACATCCTGTCTAGTTTTAGCGTATTAATCTAAGAACACTCTGACTTTACATTTTTTTTCTCTAAAGATATCAAAAGCTCAACGATATTGATGTTAATGCTTTGAAAATTGAGGAAATAATTACTCAGATCCGCTGCTTTTAGACTCTAATGATAGGGAAGTTTCCTAAATACTTACTTAGTGTGAGCTAATTTAGACTCGAACATTTTTCAAAGTTCATTCATCCATCTACTCCCCTCAATAGAAAATCAAACCTTTTGATTTTCCTTCCACCTACCATGAACATCCAGAGAAAAAAACATTTCCTTTCACACAATAAACAGGAAGAAGCCACATCTCGGGCGAAAAGTCACATTTCACCTCTGTATAACAGAGGTGTTGTATTTGGCTTGAATTAATGACTTTCCTTTTAAAAGTAACATTTCTTAAATTGAACTATAATAAGTAACATGGTCCTCCATTGCAATACAGACCAGAATTACATGCATTATGTGTACTTGCTTTATAAGTGGTACACTGAACTTGATTGGACACATTGTAACAGGAGGAAAGCATCCGCCTCCACAGACTTTATGTAACAATGATGACATATACAACATCTAAGATTCTGACACAAAGTTAAAAAAAGTTGGACTGAATTTACTCAAACAAATTGACCTGAGAAGCCTTGGGATTTGAACCAGGAACTTTTTTGCCCCAAGGTGAGATTGTGAACACCCACAAAACCCAAAACACAACAGCAATTTTTTTACTTTTAAATGACTAAAGTAATTTAGTTAGTCTCTGTGTGGCCCTGTGACAGACTAGCAGCCCATCCAGGGTCCACCTCTTGCCCAGTGTCAGCTGGAACAGGCTGGATGGATGGAAGAAACTCATGCTTTTTTTAATGGATTGTATTTTTTTTTAACTTCCTAACAACGACTTCTTAAAAAAAAATTCTACTCAATTTCCTTACATGTAGATTTTTATTCCGTGCATGACTGTTTTTTATTTGTTATTTTCTGTGTTGTTTTCGCCTCTGGGACACTCTATCTTCCTCATCACTTAAAGTTTCTCTTCCTCTCATAAAGAATTCTATGTGAAAATACACTGAATTACTATCAGGGGTTTGCAACAATCCTTCCCCTGTGCAGAAGAGTGAACAGCTGGCAGTAAAGAGGATCATCAACAAATCTTAAATCTAATCCATCACACAATTAAGATTATTAGTCCTGTCAGTGTTTTTACTGCTGCAGCCAGGCAAGGCTGTTCTGTGAGGCTTTTTTGGTTTAATGTGGGGCTTCTGGTGCCTGACCTTGGAGAACAGGGGTTTGGAATCACAGGTTAGGAGTTTACACACTTTACTTTCTGTACTCACAGCCTTTCACAAAGTTTTGCAGTATGGGTGAAGAGCAGTAAACAACGCCACTGCCATCAAGTAGGCAAAGCATTAATAAATCGGGGGAACATCACTACATCACATCACTACTTCCTCGAAATGCTATACGGTTGTTCTTCCAGAGGAACGACACGCAGTGAATGTCCCTGTTAGGCATGCGGGCAAAGGTTCAAAGTGGATCAGGTTAGAGGAAAACCTGACCTACCTTCATCGAGGAGGCGCAACGCATGCACAAAGGATGGGTCCAGGCTGTTTTTCTCAGCCAGCAGCTCAGGTAAGCGCTTATCTGGCTCCATCCTGACCGCGGTAAACCTCGTCCCCGGCAGCTGCAGGTGAGGCGGAAGGGAGTGCTGCCCGTCGGAATGCAACTGTTCAATCTTCACGCCCCCCTGCGTTCTGGATGCTGCCGTCAATTGGTCTCCAGGGAGCAGCGGGAGCCCAAAATCCCACTGGGGACAAAAAAAAAGAAGAAAAAAAAAAGCTTGTCGTCCGAAACCCCGGGGCGGAGGATGAAGTGTGATTCAGAGGTGTGAGCCCATCTCTGCCACCGCTGCCTGCTGCCACACTCTCAGCCTCACAGGGTCTGCAGACCGCGCTGCTCCCCGCCCCTCACACACGTTATTGGCCATATTCTCGGACTGGTGCTGATGAAAAATCAAGGAGGTTCCTCTCCTTCTGAGCGCAAACCAGCCGCTCGCACACCACCGCACTTTTCCCTTTTCAATGGGCTAAAGGTGGATTTCTTGCTCGCACGAGATAGAGCTGGATCAAATATAATTTGGACTGCAGAGATTTCATTTCAGAACTTTCGGGCTCTGTTGAAAATGGCGGAAAAAAGTTGCTCTGAAAAATCGTAGCCGGTTCTGGGAAATATTCATGCAGCGTGTGGATAGATGGAGTCGATCTAAGTACACCATCTTTGAGCCTGTACACAAGTTTTGTCCTCTGTCCTTTTTTGCGACAATCGTCCCAACTCATACAAACTCTGGACCATCCTATAGCACCAAAATGAAAAAAACAATAATTATCACTACTCTATAAAGTGGGATGCCAAGGGAAAAGAAAGTACAAATAAAAGCATAATATAGTAACCACAGGAAAAGTCTTCATGTATAATGTTTTACCATAAAAACAAAGTGCTTTTTTAAATATTCCCTTTGACATATGGTGCACTTTAGTTAACGTCACCTTAATACTAACACCTTCCGAACAACTGAGTTTCTATTAGAGACTTTTTCTCGCCTATTTATTCCAAAGTTCACATCACAGTGACCTGTTCACTGGCAGCACTGCCTGAGGGACACAAACAGTTTATTTATGTTGCTTTTCATGGTGCTGAACTCTGCCTGGAGATCAGGACTGCTCTGAAATGTTTCATGGTCGGCTGAAGCTACCATTTCATTAGATCATGCATTCTATCACAGGGTACTACCATAGTAAACCCCAAAAAGCATTTTCTTTCCTTAATCAGATTGCTGATATGTCCCCCTTTAAATGGTAGAAGTCACATGAAGGGTTTTTCTCATCTTATTGCAACTTTTAAAAGCCAGACTTCTAAAATGAGGTTTTATACATATTTTTAGAGGTAATAAAATAACTCTATGCTTTCCTTTTTGAGCATTTAGCTCTAATGGACTGGGAGGCTGTGAACTTCTATGATGTTACTTCCAGATTAAAAATAAAAAGGCTGTTATACACCATGCACTTTGGTGCTGTATGACGTTTTGTTTCTTTTGTTTAAGGTGGAGTACAATTTAGAATAATGTCAGAGTTTTACCTCCAACTGATGGCTGAAGGAAGTGATGTCGATAGGAGCTTTTCCTGCTGGAAGAATGAGCTGAAGACACCCGTCTTAAAGAGGCTATGTTATGAAATGATACTTAATAAGAAACTAAATGCCTCATTTGGGTCTTACAAAGCAATGTCAGTGGTGTCAACGCCGTCAGGAATATAATAATGGGAGTATCTGATATGAAACATCTCTCCGGTGTCTACCGTCATGATATTAACTTTGAGATGAAAGTCATCTTCGGCTCAGTGTGCAGGCTGCTTTCTTCACTTACAAATGACTGTTTAGCAGATGAGGATGATGAACCACCAATTCTAGCCCCACTTGACCTTTAGAGCTGTTTCTCTTTGCACTGAGCAGAAGGATCATGAAAACTACAGAACAGCTGTTGACACAGCTGTTTTATAAGAATGTTTTAATTATTTTTCTGGCATTGATATAGTCTCTCTAATAGGTTAAGTTATTTATTAATAATTTCTAATTAAAAATCACTCTAAATACACATTTGAAGACTTTCCAGCGATTTTCTTAATGCTGCAATAAGATCTGTGATTATTAGAGTTTAAACAATTCTGATAATTTCCATTTATCTTCTAGATATAGACAATCTTCAGTCATCCTAAAAAAGTATCATACAAATGTGTCATTTTCAATATTGTTCAGTCTGTAAAAGGCCTTGTTTGAGTCAATATTCAGCAAAACTTCCCAGTTGTTTTCTTTTTTCAACTTTTTTTCATAATGAGCTATCCTGTCTCTAAATTGAGCTATAAATTTGTTTTTCTGCATGACAGCACAACACAGTGAACCAGGCCAATGCAGGCCAGTATTGTTATTATTCTGATATTTTTTCCTTTCTTTCTTGCATTTCATGCTTATTGGACCTTCACTGATTTAATTTCACTCAGTGAAATGATTTCTGGAATGATAATGACATCCAACTACACTGCTGCTACTTTGGTCATCAACAGTAATGATGATTATGTCTCCTAATGTGTTTAAACATTGTGCGTTTGTAGTTCATATAGTTTGAAGATTTAGGGGAAAGTTGGCACGCTGAACACAAACAGATCAACAATGTATACCTTTATGGTGATACCATAGAAGGTAAAAGATGCACAGATGGGAAACCTGTGTACTAAAAAAAAGTAGTCTTTTCTCGTATCTGATACTATGTCTTCACAATAATACCGTTGTGCTTTTTACATTACTGGGCTCTTACTGCCCTCTGTTGGTCAAAGTTTAACATTACATTTTGTAGTAGATTATTAATATGATGCCAATTATTGTTTACAGTGCTGTGACTCTGTCACGTTTACGTAATAATTTAAGTTAGACATTAAAAGAAAGGCTACAAAGATTGTACACACTTAAGTTTGTTTTATTTTCATAGTGGTATATTAGTATCAACCGAAAGACTGACTACGTATACGATTTCATGTTTCCATGTTTTTTTTTTTTATTATTTCATTGTCTCTGGTATTTCAAGTGTTTGGATAAGTTTAAGCATGTCAAGTCTGTGTCAAGGGAATAGTACTTTTGTAAATATAAAAGCCTAAAATATAGAATGAAATGTAAAGTATTATAAAACTGCTGCAATGAAATACTGCAAACAGTTTGATGGATAATGCTGACGTGTTGCATCAAACATAGAAAAACTGAGACCAGATTTTATTGAGGGAGGTTTAAAGTGGGAGATTTATAGTTTTGTGGGGAAAATGACTGGACCCACCCCACGTTTCTGTGCACGTGCAAGGCAAGGGTTATTGGGGCAAAGGACTTAATGGACAAGTTCAGTTCAACCTTTGCCTGTGTCAAATTTGAATCTGCGCTGAACCATTTTTCTTGACGAGCCTTTTCCCAAAAGCTCCCACGGAAGTTCACAACAATTTCAGTTTGAACTGTACATCTCGCTGGAGATTCCCACGAGACTTACGTCAGAGTGTGTTTCACTGTAACAAAAGTTCCCCTTCGAAGTCACGTGTCATCGACAGTTTCTTTCTGGGAAGAAGCGTGAAAGTCATAAAAGGTAGGAAATGTCCAAATCTGTCAGCGTGTGAACGACGCGCAGAATAAACACGCGTGGACGAGTTTTTGTGTAACTTTTTTAATCAGCATCGTGCAGGAATGGATCGGGGAAACGCACCTCCATACAGTACAGGCTGTTCCGGTCAAGTGTTGGATTTAGAACAAGCGCACCTTGTTTGTGACTAATCTGGAAAAGCTGCAGCAAACGCACCCTCTTCCACCGGGGTTCGTGCGCACTGAGGCCACACACAAACAAGTCCATTGTCGGTATTTGTCTCTTTCACCGTGAGGCAAAGTTTCGAGGGAATAAAGAGGAAATGAATATGTTATTTCTTAAATGATTCGAGCTGTTTTGTGTACAGTTGAAGAGAGAACGGATGCATCAGATGCATTATGGAGCTGGTGCAGAACTACCGGTCAAAAAATGCTCCAGTTATTTTTAAAAAAATTTATTTTGTGTCTCAGTATCTGCAGTTAAACGTGATCCTTGTGCCTAAAATGAAAGTACCACATCCCCAGCAACCGGTGTGTCCAGTTTGGACTATTTTGTTGAATGCCCCTGTTGTACATTTCTTAGATTCAGAAAAAAAAAAAAACTGTACGTGATGGAATGCATAACTTGAGGAGAGCAAAGATTTCTCAACCCTAACTTGTCTCCTTCTCTGCAGGAACATGTCAGCAGTTTTGGTGGTGCATGGGGGTGCGTGGGCCATTCCGGAGGAGCTGGCCCAGGCTTCTGTGGATGGGGTGAAGACTGCAGCGCGGGAGGGTTCGTCAGTGCTGAGAAGTGGTGGGAGTGCAATGGCTGCTGTGGAGGCCGCTGTGAGGGCTCTGGAAGATAACGCCGTGTTCAATGCAGGTACACAAAGTCATTCTCAGCTGTTTTATTCACATCTCATACATCAACCACTTCATATCTGCCATGATTCTGTCAGCAGTTTTGGCAACATTATAGATTTGTAATAGGATTATCTAAACACTCCCAATCCACTTGTCTACAGGGCCATTCCACTCACAGTTTCACTTTTATCTTTAACAGTACACTATCCCCATCTGCTGGTGGTGATGGTCACTTCCACCTAATATCCACAAAGCATCCCACTGAGTGAGGCAGAAGTTGCAGAAGTGGAATGATTTTGGCACACCTCTCGTAACAACATATTTAAAACAGGACCAAACCGTATTTCTGTGTTTTTTTTTTGTCATGAATGGAGGCAGACCCTTTCTTAATGAAAAACTCCCATATCAAGATGTAACTGACTAAATGGCTAAATCAAACGACGACAAAGAAGAAATAAACAGTGAAGAAAAAGATTTACCAGATAAAAAAATAACACATTTGTCAGTGGCTCAGAGGAGAGGGAAATCACTTTTACTTGTTTACATTAGTTAGCAAAGAAAAAAGTATTGACTGGATTAAAAAGTACTACCTGAGTTTTAGCATATTGAGCTCGCACATCATGTCAGCGCCACACTGCACGATGACGACTCCTATTTTATCTGAAACATTCTCTAACAAACCTGTGCAAGACAATGAGACCTGTCAGCAGCCTGAAAATAATAACATTTAAAGGCAAATATTGTTTTGAAACTTCCATTAAAATGGCGTCAATTGAATAATTTATATGGTTTACAAAGATAAACTAATAACATGTTAAACAGAACCAAATATTTTTAGTTTCTGACTTGTTTGATTTTGTGAAATTTGATTTAACCTCTCAAAGCAACAATCTTTACACAATTAAGAGAGAATGTGATGACCGAAATGTTATTCTCTGTAGGACATGGAGCAACACTGAACATTGATGGTGAGGTGGAGCTGGATGCTATGATCATGGATGGAAAAACACTTGCCAGTGGAGCGGTGTCCTCAGTAAAAGACATTGCCAACCCTGTGTCACTGGCAAGGGCAGTGATGGAAAAGGTCTTCCGTTCTTGCTCTTTTCTGAAGTTTTTGTTCTTCCTATTATTTTTACTATCATAATTAAAATGCTATTTAGAATACGTATTTGGATCATTGTTATCATGTTATCCTTTTAATTTCTTACATGTTTGCTGCTGCGGAAAATCTCAGACTTCCCACGCCATGTTGACGGGCAGAGGTGCGAACCTGTTTGCAGAGAGCATTGGTTTCAGCACAGTACCTGCAGATTCTTTGGTGTCTGAGTTTGAGAGGAAAGAATGGGAGCTGCGCAAGAAATACATGAAAGGAGTTGCGGAAGATTTCAAACTTAAATTGTATGTATTATTAATTTGATTTCATGTTGCCTTTGAATGGAGAGCATCATCTCAGCATTAATGACACACCATAAATGCATTCCTGTATCCTTTCTCAACCAAGGGCCCATGATACTGTTGGTGCTGTAGCTCTGGACTGTGCTGGTAATGTTGCATGTGCAACATCAACTGGAGGCATCAGGAATAAAATGGTTGGGCGAGTAGGAGACTCTCCAATCATTGGTATGTCCTCAATAATACCTAATTTATCCAACTCCTTTTAAACTGCCATTGATACTTGTGGTGTTTTAGCTTAACCTGTAACATTGCATGTTTTGAAATGATAAATGCTACTATAGAAATGATATCTTCTTCAGTTAAGATCTAGTTTATTTTAAGGCCAAAGCACGTTGTGCATGAATAGCAACTGCATGCCTTTGTTATAAAACGTGCTTAAGTTGACTGTCAGCAGTTCAGACTTCTTATTTTGTGGAGATATATGGCTCATTGAAATGAAAAAAATAGTGGTTTGATTGACCGTAAAGGGTTAAGGATACCATCAGAAGCACAACACTTAATTTAAAACTGGGGTCAATTTCTCACAAATCTATCAAATTTGTCTGTCTCAGCTTTGGTTTTGTAATATATTTTATATATTTGTTTGTGTTCTTTGTGGTATATAAGGCTGTGGAGGATATGCAGACAACTTAATTGGTGCAGTTTCCTGTACCGGCCATGGAGAATCTATTCTTAAAGTCACGTTGGCTAGACTCATTCTTTCACATATTGAACGAGGTAATGTATCACTCTGTCAAAACCTCCACAGAACAACAATTCTGTTTTACTTGATCATTAAAAAACATAGCTGTGAAAAAAAAAATCTGTAAATAGATAACAAAAGGTTTTCAAATGCATCCATATGGACTGACATGACCCTAACCCTGATGCTAAAGAAATAGTTCACTCCGTCCATGTTTCCTCCTCCTGTTCCAGGAAAATCGGTATCAGAAGCCTCGCAGCTCTCTCTGCAGACCATGGGTGATCGTGTCCAGGGTGCAGGAGGGGCTATAGTGGTTTCTCCGTCCGGGGAGTGGGCTGCCACATTCACCACTGAGCGCATGGCCTGGGCCGCTGTGGAACACGATGTGCTTTGGTTTGGATTAGAGCCTAATGAAAAGCAAAAAGAGATGTTGCACCAGTAAATGTTGCTCCTATTCCTTTTTTATCAGCATAGATGGCTGTCACTATTATATTCTAAATCACATTACTTAATATTTCCCATATTCTAAGCTTGCTCCTTTCTTATTCCTTGAGATTCAATAACTTTTTTATTTATTTTTATAAATGCAGGAGTTATATATTATTTTGCCTAATGTGTAGTATAACACAATGTGTGCAGTGCAATGAAAACTTTTTGTGAAAATTTTAATCTGTTGCCTATGTAAAGCAGTCTTTATATGTGACTTGAGAACTTGTAACTCTTTTTTTTTGTCTAAAAGAGTTCTAAAGGTGCAGGTAAAGAAATACCAGTTCTTCTTGAAAGACGAGATCAGAGATAGATTATGAGAGATAGATCAAAGATGTGACAATGTAACTACTGTACTAAAAACTTTACTGAGAGTTACCAGTAGTATGTAGTATTGATGTCTGTTGGTTTTGAATGTGTTGTCCCTTTTTAGATTCATCTTAAACAACCTAAGTATTTTTTCAATGATCTGTTTTTCGAATCAGTGCTCTGTGTGCCAGTAATCAAACATATAGCAAAAATATTAAAACTAACCTTCATTGGTTACATTTAGTCCAATGTATTGGAATTGTGTGGTACCTTCATTCACCAGATCAGTAAAGTGTTCTTACTGTATTGTAATTATCTAATTAATAAACCTGTCTCATGAGAACCGTTCTGTTTTTCTCTTTGAATGGCCTTCAGCTGTCAGTTTTGGTCTTATGCAAGTAAACGTCCCACTCTAGCTGCTTTATACAGTACGTTGCAATTCTGTTTCTAATAGTGGAAATTTCAAGCACTTTTACTCATTTTTCATTTGCACGAGTTCTGTTTCACAGAGACAACCCTTTTTAATTGGAATTTTCCTTACGATCCGGTGCAAGAATTAAATGTGTTTTTGAAACTGTCAGCGAAACATTCACCCTAAAGCTTCATGAACTTAGAATGCGAAAAGTTGCAGAAAGGGAACGAGCCGTAAATCTGTTTTAAGGATGTACTATCTGCTGCTACGTTACCCGTAAACAGAAACCACGTGACACGCAGCGCCGCCTGTCAGGGGCTTTGCAGCAGTGGGACGAATGACGGCCGACTCAGAGGAAGTTACTTGGAGCAGCTGTGCTAGTATGTAACCTTACACCAGTGGGCAAAAATATTCGCTGTTCATTAAAGGTGAGAGCTTTTTGTATATATTAATAAACGTTTTTAATGTATAATCTGCAAGCGTGGGGACGTATGCACGGGGGGGAGGCAATCTGACGCGCGCTAACAACACTCAGGCCACAAACAAACTTGGTATCCAGGGCCTGTGCTGTAACCACCTAGCTAGCCCATCTAACAGATCTGACATCGATTTCTCTTACTTTATTTGAGTGATTTGTTTTATCATTTTGACACGGATTATTGTGGGTACAACTTCCGTTTTCAAAAACCACGCCAAAGTTTAAAAGAGCGTTTTACAATGTGTAGCAAGTTCCTCCTAAGTTACCGCTACATGCTACTGTTCGTGAAGGCGTTCTGCAGCGGGTTGTTGTTAGCGGTCCTGCAATGTTAGCATGCTAGCTAGCTAACAAACACGTTTTGGGCTAAACTTATTCCAAAAAACGCATATTTGCTGACGTTAAGACATATTGGGTGATACTGCATTAATTTGCATAGAGAGAACCATCACGTTATCAGCTTCCTGAGGTATTTTTGTTGCCTAAATTAATTTATTTAGCCCGTTTAATTTGATCCTGGTCAAGACTATTCGTTGCGCCACTTTATTCATAAACACTAAAGTTGAGATTGTATCACCGTCCCCTTTTGCATATTTTCCTAATTGGTTACCGTAGTAGTTAAAAAAAATAGAATAATGCATAAGACTATATGAAGGGTGCTGGTAATATCGGCTTTGAAAACTTGAACCATACAACGGAAATTGTCAAATGGCCACGTTGTTTTAGCGTAGCAGGACAGCTGACCAACAGATGGAAGGAGCCCAGAAAACCAGTTTGAATTGATCGCATCGTCCCGTAATTGTTGATTATAACTCAGGCCTTTGATAGATACACCAAGTGCTTAGGGTTTCTTGATCACTGCTTGAGGGGACTTGAACTGCTTTGTTGATTTAGAAATTGATTTTTTTTACATGCTGTTACTCCATTCTATCTTTGTTTTGATTCAGGCAGCAGCATTCATGGATATTGTGGACACCTTTAATCATTTAACACCAAGTGACCAGTTGGATGATTCACCAATAATAAGTCAGAATTTGGAATGTGAAGCCAATAATGAATGTGGAACAGGACTCGGATTGGAAGATTCACTGAAGAACATGCTGAGCGACAAAGATCCTATGTTTGGATGTGCAAGCACTCTGCTGGACAATGAAGACCCCGCTTTTCAGATTGCTGGTTCGGCAAGTACGTCTATTGAGAAGAGAGTGAGGAGAGTGTGTTTACCACCTGAATAAAAGCTAACTCGCCCTGTATACAGTGGTGTCAGGAACGAGAATACATGTTAGGAAAGCTTTGGATATACATTAGACCTTTCTGGCATTTATTTGTAGAGCTTTTTTGCGCTGGTATTTTTATGGTTGAATTCTAACTCCCTTGGAAGGTCTCCTCATATTGAGGAATGCTGGGAAAATCCTTATTGTCAACAACTGTGTGCAGAAACCCTGTTATGTCAGGGGTGGCAATATCACTTGTTGCATTTAAAAGACCTTTTGAGTTGCTCAGCAGTAGGTTTATTTTTTCAGTTTGTTTCATTTTCATCATCACAATGTGTCAACTAAAAAATAACCAATTCTATTTTAAACGTGCCAGTCACACAAAAGGCTGCTTAAGTTGTTACTGTTTGAGATTGCTTTTTTGTAGATGAAGTTCACATTGCATTGTCAAAAAAGTAAAGATGTCTTTTTTTTCTTTTTTGTCTTTTGCAGGTCCAGACAGTGGTGCTGCGCAAGTAGACCTCTCCAATGAACCGAAAACTACAGAGAGCTCACAGGATAAGCGACTCCTTGGAAAGCAGAAGAAACCTCCTGGCAGTTTAGAATACCGTCAGTACATGATAGTAATGAGTTGCATTTAATTTAGAATAGAAACAGATAATTCATATCTTGACATTTATGAATTCATGTTATGTTGTTTTTGTTTTGCTTTTACTGAACAGAACATTCTGGTGACCAACGGCCCAACATGTCTACCAACCGTTCAATCCGAGGACGGCCAGGGAGGAGACCGGCTAACAGGCTAAGCAGGTCATTTCTTATTGACAAAGGTGTTAAAGGTGCCCAACTGAAGAAAGAACTGATTCAGGGTGGGCGCATTAACATTAGTGATCTTGATGGTGGAGTTTGGCTGAACCCTGCTGTTGTACTGAGACGACTGACTGTAAATATTGGAGGATTTAAGATTGAGTTGCTTCCAGGACCTTCTTACACTCAGAGTGTTGATACAAGCCAGTCGGAATGCTTGGACACCAATTTTTCCGATGGTGGTGACATCGGTGTGGCCATCTTGCCAGATGATGCTGTCAGAGCAGAAAGTCTGATACCAAGCAAGGTTACAGAGATGGAAGTAACTGAGAGGAGCTCTGCTGATGAGGCAGTCATTGGGCTGGGCCCATATGTGAACCCTAATGACGTGCAGACTTCTAATGGGACTATAATGGAAACCCAAAAACAACAAAACCCAGCCAGTAAGGGAAAAGATGATGTCAAACATCCTCAAAGCAGTGAGGATACTTCAGCTACTATTAGTGATAAAACTGATGGCAAAGACAAGCATCAAACCCCTGCCAAAACAACTCTGAAGTCTAAACAAGGTGTGATGTTGAACAAGAGCAAGGACTTGGTTTTATCTAAACCAACCAACACGATTAAGGATAAAGTATCCCAAAACAAGCCATCCAAAGTTATCCACAGAGGCGACTTGCACAAAATGAAATCTGTAAAGGATAAACAAGATGTTTCACCTGTAAAAAGGCCTGCAGAAAACATTCAAAGTGAGCATACTACTAAAGTACAAAAAGTGCATGTTGCAGGGGACGTTAAAGTGAAGCCAAAATCACCGAGTGCACCAAGCTCTGCAGCAAAGAGAGTTCCGTCTCCTGGCAACCGTGCTTGTGATCAGCAGGGACAAACCAGGCAAAATAATCCTCATCACAGCTCTAAAGTTGAACCTGCTCACCAGGCCCACAGTCACGCTAGTAATTCTGTAAAGGTCCCTCATGAGGGAGGGCAGGAAAAGTTCAAACTGAAAAAAACAGAAAAGATTCTTCAAAAACAGAAGAGTAAAAATACACGAAGCATCTCTGTGGACGAGCCGCAGCTCTTTGTTCCAGATAATGCTCCCACTGTCAAGAAAGAAACTGCCGAGGAGCAGCCTGCCAATAACGAGAGCGTATGGGACGGAAACAACTGTTGTGGCCTCTGCAAAAAGCACCACAATAACATGTAAGCCTTACTCTTCACTTAAACCTATCAGAGTACTGCACAATGTTAGATGTTAAAGATTTCCATACATTTGTGTCATTTTTGCCTACATACACACTTTAATAAAAGGCATTCTTTCTTTAGGTTCATGGTAGGATGTGGTCGCTGTGACGACTGGTTCCATGGTGACTGTGTTGGTCTCGATTTGGCTAAAGTACATGAAATGGAGGAAGAGGACCAGATGTACGTATGCTTAAAATGTTGCGAAGAGGAGAGCAAGAAGGTGGAGCCTGAGCCCCCGGCCACTGTCAAGCCAGAAGTTCATGAAAAGACTGAAGTCCAGGATCATAAGCTGCCATCCAAACACCGTCCAGGATCCTCCCAGAGTCTCACCTCAGGTGGGGTCAGACCAGTAAGAAAGGTACGTTTCTACGGGTTCCCAATACATATGTTTGGCTGCACATCAGATGAGATTCAGTCTTTGACATAGAATGTATTATTTGTTCCCCCAGCTAATTCATCCTCTGATATTAAGCATAGCCAGTGTCACCACTTTGCAATGGTTTGTTTTCTTTTTGCTTTTTCTTTGGTTAAAGTAGAGGTGTGCACATGGGTGTGTGGTTAAGCACTCTCTCAACCCATAGAAATCCCAACAAATCTAAACTTCTTTTTGTAAGATCGATAACATGCCCAATGCACTTTTTTTCTTTCTTGGAACAGGATGCAGAAACAAGGCTATCCTCAGATGTCAAAGAACAAGGCCATAGAACAGGTATTTTTACGAGTTGTGAAGGTAAAAATAAGTTTGTTTTTGTCGTGTGTGGCCCAAAGCCAGACTTCATGATTCAATGTCCTTCCCCGATTGTAAGCACGATTTTGGCATGGGTTTATTTATATTAATATCTGTATTAGTTTTTAATTTGCGCTAGCTCTGAGGAGATGTAATGTATGCACGTATTGTAATGCGTTATCACAAATGTACACAAATTCTTAGAGAAGCAATCCATTTTGCAAATATGCAGCCACATAAAAAGTCGTTGAGCTTCACTTTTCAAATCCTCAGAAACCAAATATAGCTCTGATGCAGCTGTTCAAATGCTGACAGGGTGGGGTTGATGGCCATTTGGTGGCAAATATGGCAGAGTGAACAAGATGGATATTTACAGGCAGCTATAAAGATGGGGAAAAACTAAACTAAAGTATGCTACTTTAGATATGTTATTTTGTGCAAAACTTGCTTGTTTGTCTAAAAGAGACTCACTGCCCTGTGTTGCGTACTGGGCTTTGGCCAAAGTTGTTTGTTTTGTTATATGTTGTTAGCCTTGTGACTACAGGTTTTACTCACCAACTCAGTTGTTATTACTATTTCACCCTCACAGGTTTTTATGCAAAGCACGAGGCAAAAAGTAAGGCTCTGTCTTTGGCTTCAAAGAAGCCTGTGTCTGTGGAGGCAATCAGACGAAATGTGCGTGATTCTCTGAAAGAAATCCTCATACAGAGGTTAGTTTTTCAAGTTGAATTATTAATAGATGTGTGGTCGACCCTACACAGTGCATTCTGAAAAAAGAAAACCCAAAACAAACTGAACACAGCAAGACTACACATGCAGTGCTTTCTCCATTTTAGGCTGAAGGATTCAGATTTGAACATTTCGGTGGAGAGGGCCTCTGAACTTGCCAAGAAGACTGAGAGGGAGCTGTTTCATCTATATAAAGACACTGACAACAAATACAAGAACAAATACAGAAGTTTAATGTTCAACCTTAAAGACACAAAAAATAATGTAGGTCCCCTTTTAAATAAAATCCGATCAACATATTTTCTACTGTGCTATGAATGCTTTAGTTTGCTGTGCTTCAATTGATTATTTCTTTTACAGGTGCTCTTTAAAAGAGTTCTTAATGGTGAGATTTCTCCCAGTAATCTAATTCGCATGAGTCCCGAGGAGCTGGCTTCCAAAGAGTTGGCTGCCTGGCGACAGAGAGAAAACAGACACGTGAGTGATGTTCAAACTTCTCCTGCAATTTGGGAGTACTGCCTGCCCCTAGAAATGAAAATGTCCTTAAAAACATCTACAGAGGAAGTGCCCCCTTCCCCAACTGTCGCCTAACCTGGCTCCGCCAACTCTCATCAGCGATAAGCTGGAAATTCAACTTGATTAAGGGCTTAATAGGATAAAAAAAAGAACTAGCGTATGCATCTGAGTGTAAGACACGTTTTTGTCATTCTCTTTGCGTCTTTCAACCACAGAACACCCTCAGAAATACACGTGCGTCTCACAGTGCGGCACAGTTCACTCTAAAGTGTTTAAAATTGCCGCATTTCTTGGCAATGATTTTTAATTCATAGTGGTAAACTCCCAGGTAAACTAACTCTAGATTTTTATTTTTGTTGTCATTGTATGTCTGTAATTAGAAAAGCGAAAACTCTCAGTTGACCCTCTGATTTTTTACAGACCATCGAAATGATTGAAAAAGAGCAGAGAGAGGCAGAGAGAAGACCAATCACCAAGATCACACACAAAGGTGAAATAGAGATTGAGAGCCAGGAACCAGCGAAAGCTCCAGAGCCCACAGAAGTAAGGTTAAGAACAAAAACGATGAATAAAAGTGTTTTACTTGTCTAAATGACCTTCCTTTTCTCTTCTTTTTAAGCCCGAGTCTCCTCCTAAAGTGACTGAAGTTTTAGCAGAACCTGCAAAGGGCCCAGAGAAGAAAGCAGAGAATATCAAAATAGAGGAGGACACTACAGGCCAGCACAAGTCTCATCTGTTCGACCTGCACTGCAAAATCTGCACCGGTAGGGCTCCGGCATGAAGAGCCAAGCTCTAATGACAAAGCTTCTTAAGAATTCTATTATAAAACTGAGACCCTTAATCTTCCCATGTTAGGTCGCATGGCACCCCCGGTGGAAGAAGCACAAACCAAAGTGATGAAAGTTGCCACCACCGTGGTTCGGAGGCAGTCTGCCAAAGCAGAGGACACAAAGAGCAGAACGCCTGCAATGGACGATGACCTGCACCTCACCGTGTTGGAGGAGAGCTTCCGCAGTGCCCAGTCCGGCTTAGAAGCACGGTATTCTAAAAATGCAGACAATCAGCGAATGTCCAGCCTAACCTTTTTTCTTGGAAGCTTTTTCACTGACTGCTCTTTGTCGCAGGACGGATCACGCCTCTGGGAGAGACGAAGAAGCCCTTTTCCTCTCCAACATAAAACCCCTGTGGCGCGGATTCATTCACATGCACGCCGTGGCAAAGCTAGTCACAAAAGCTTTCCCTGTTTCCGGCATTTTGGACAACTTGACTGTGGTAAAATGGCTCTTCCCAAACATTTTAGACACTAAGTATTATTAGGATTATTATGTTAGTTATTATCAATATTATATTATCATAGTGGGTCTTTAAGATTCATTGCCATCAGTTTTTGTTTAAGTTATGTTAAATTCTTTGTGTGAAAAAAATTGAATTTCTTAAACTATTTTTTCCTCTTAACTCGTCCAGGACCTTCCAGACAGCATCCAGGTTGGTGGGAGAATTAGTCCTCAGACTGTGTGGGACTACTTGGAAAAGATTCGGGCAACTGGAACAAAAGTGAGTCTTGTCAGCTTTTTAATCCAACAACTAAACAGCATTTTTATCAAAAAACAGAAGAAAACAGTCTCATTTTGATCAAACTTGCAAGAATCGTTACCCGTTAGGCCGTTGGACATCTCATTTGCAGGTTTTAGGGACACTGGCTTATTTATATGCTTACTGTTTTCTTAAAGGAGGTGTGCCTGGTTCGCTTCTCCCCCGAGACAGAAGAGGATGAGATCTCCTATACTCTTCTTTATGCCTACTTCAGCAGTCGTAGGCGTTTTGGGGTGGTGTCCAACAACTTAAAACAAGTAAAGGACATGTATCTCATTCCTTTGGGTTCCACGGAAAAAGTTCCCCATCAGCTAGTTCCCTTTGATGGGCCAGGTAACCTGAGGAGTAAAAACGTCTACTTCATTTTCGGTAAGCATCTCAGGGCTCTCCAGCTTGATTCCTTTTTTACTTTTTGCTTTACAGGTTTAGAAAACAACCGTGCCAATCTTCTCCTTGGACTCATTATTCGTCAGAGACCAAAAAGGGACTTTCTTCCCGTGGACATGAACGAATCTGCGAGGATTGTTCCTGAAATCAAGCCAGTCACCGTTTCCACAAAAGTTACCACGTCCACCGAGGAGGATGAGAAATTGTTCCTGTCTACTCTGACACCCCAGCACAAAAAGGAGACGAACAAAGTAGCTGACACGAGGGAGGAGCCCGCTGCAGAGCCCTTTGAAGAAGCTCCAGCAGCAGAGGAGCCCAGCGGTCAGGAACAAAAACCACTTCGCTTTCTTCCAGGAGTGTTGGTGGGCTGGGGAGGAGAAATTCCACCTCTGCCAGATTTTGTAGACAAACCTGCAACAACAGGACACTCCACTCCAAAGAGCCCGCCCGTTCCCAAACCAGAGGCAACTACCGGGAGCTCAAAAGTCCCAGCAGCTGCTTCTGCCCCTCGTTTTATCATCAAGAAAAAAGAAGCAAAACCTGCTAAAGCCGAACCGGAGCCATCCGGCCCGGCTGATGCCTCTGCCTCTAAAGAGTCGCCGGTAAAAAAGGCCGCAGATGTAACGGTCCATCATGCATCAGTCACCCTCAAAGATAAGCCGCCAGATGTGTCGACGGAGGCATTCCTGGCAAGCCTGTCAGCAGCATCAAGTGGCACTGAAACGGCAAACAAAAGCTCCGCTGGCCTTTTGTCTGAAACTGAAAAAGGAGAATCTGAAGGGAATTCTTTGTTGCAGCCAGAATCCCAGGCTGCTTCAGATCACACAAATAGCTCAAAAGCTCCTTTAAGTGGAATCCTAAAAAAATCGTCAGCATATTCCTCTGCGAATGAAGATAAAACAATTGTGCTACAGAAGGATAAAGCCAGCCTCCCAAACTCGTCAGGTACTAAACCAGTTCCTGTGTCGGGCAGCGCCAGGAAGGATCCAGTGTTACCTTTTCACCAAGGATATTTACAGCTATCTCAGGCAAGGCACAAGCTCGAAGAACAAAGCCAAACTGCTTCTCAGTCATTTCACAGTAAAAAGAATGATCCTGGAGCTACGTTAACTCAGACCCCTCCTCCTCCTGCTCAAGCTCCAGAAACCACACTTGTGTGCAACACAGAGGCCTCAGAGTCCCGGCCTGCGTCTGTGAAGGCACCAGCTGTCCCAGCCACCAGCAGTGCAGCCGCCTTTCCCGCGGAGGAGCCCCCAGTCGCGCCGCTCCTCAACACTGTGTCCACGGCTGACACCCAAAGCCAGCACTCTAGTATCCCCACAGCAGACGCGTCAAGCCCAGAGCCATCCCCAGCCAGAGACTACAAACGGCCAGAAGAGCAGTACAGCGACCCGTGGGCCAGGCAGAGCAACTCGGAGGAGGGAGACCACCACGGGAGGCACAGTCACCACCGGGACTCCCACCACGGCAAAAAGAGCCGGCACTACGACCGGGAACGGGAGGAGAAGTACAGGGACAGGAGCAGGCACCACGGACACACGGACGACCGGCACGCCGAGAGGAGGAAAGAGAGGCACCACAGCGACGACCACAGCCGCCACAAGGACCGACACCGGCACAGGCGAGACTCCGACTACGAGAACGGACGACGGAGCTCAAAAGACAGCTACTCGTAATCTTTTTCTATTTATTTTTTTTAAACCCTTAAGAGCATTTGTGCTCGTCCAGACTTGCTGGTTTATACCACTCTTACTAAATTTTCCCCCTAACAGCGTGCATCTGTTGGGCTGCGTCTCTGAAAGGGGGCTTTTATGTTCTTCACTGGTCAGCCAAAATGAGATATCATTTCAGTGGAATTATGAATAGCGTTTGTCAGTTTTTATCCAGACCATGCAAGACTCAATGTTGGAATATTTTTCAATTGATTAACAGTTAACAGTTTTAATGTATATATCCTGTTCTAATTGAACTGTTGTTCTGGCTTCCAGTTTTTGTGGACCATTAGGTTAAAGTTTGAAATGTAGCTTCAGTTTTTTACCTGAATGTAACAGAAGATATTTAACTAAGGACAGGTCTAAACAGCAATTTTGTCAGTTTTCATTTTCTTTTAAATCCCTCAGATATTTTATAAACTTTATGTTAAGAAAATATGTACATTTGGCTTGTAATATACACTAAAGATGAAGTGTGCCTTTGCACTGTTTATGTACAGTTGATAATTAAACTAATCCTTTTTTTTTATTGTTGATTACAAAAAAATGTCTTGTATTTTTTTTAAATGCATTAAAGTTCAATTTTGCTCTGTAAGCAATTTTAGACAACATAGTTGCTTTAATAGAGCAGGAGTCAGACTTCATACAGACATTTAGCTATATACTAGGACAAAACCAGTGTTACTATTCAAAATATATATATATGTTCATCAACATCACTAGTTTATAGTTATTTGTGTAATGAGATTTAGTTTAGAAGATTAATTTTAAACAAAACCGTCTGAATTGGTAAAACACATCTTAATCATAAAAACACAATGCATCTCTATATCTCCTACCACTATGATAAAAAGAAATAAATGAAAACTGTCAAGTTCCAAGCTGGGTGGGGAAAAAAACTTTCAACGTATTAGTCATCCCGCTTATAAATATTAAAACCTTCACTGGTACTTTTTAAAAATGGCACTGGTTTTGTATCCCCAAACAAATAGACATCTTTGAGACTTCCTTCAAAACCCTTTGAAAACATTCCAGAGGTGACAACTGAGACATTTCTGTATAATTCAAACCCTCCAAAGTAAACAAGAGCACCATAGTTCAGGGCCACGTATTGCTCAAAAGGGTCCACATCTTCAAAAAGGATTCTCCTACTGTTCAGGAGGACCTGCACGACTGTGCTGTTAAGGGAAAGGGAGATGTTAAGCCATTTGTTGCAGCAAAGACTGAGATTTTTTAAAGTTAAAGGAGGGGAAACTCTCTCTCCAAGATTGACCGCAATTTTGAGAAAGCCCCTCTCAAGTCCGACTGCGAGGTGGTCGTCATCTTCGTGCTCAGCCTTTCCGATCCACATGATTAAACCGTCACTGGAGCTGGCGGAAACTCGGAAAGAGACTTGAGTGTATTTCAAGTTTCTTATGCTAAATCTGGGGTCTCGGTATTTTATGTAAGAGTTTCCAGCGAAGCCCAAAGTGCTTGTGGTTATTTCTGTGTCACAGTATGTCCCTCCCCATCCCAGCGGGCACATGCAGCTGTAAGTGCTGCCTGGAGACGGCACACACAGGGAGCCGTATCTGCAGAGGCTGTTTAAGCAGCTTACAGACTGGTTACACACAGAGCCTGTCCATAAAGGTGGGCATGAACACGCAAACGAGTCGCTCCCTGTTTCCATGCAGCGTCCTCCGTTTTGGCACACTTTGTACCCGCAGGCTGTCCCGTCCCAATCCCCTACGTTTGCTCCACCAACAGCTCCCGTCTCTGTGAGCTCAAGTTCATGACCATTAATTAGAAGTTCTCTCAGGCCGCCGGTGAAGCTCATTGGCTCCCCTTCCGTTGCATCGGGGGGCACGAAGCTCAGAGTGGACACGCCTCCGACAAAGATGTCCGTGGCGACGTCCAGAGTGGTCATCCCTTTAGTCACGTTCCCTGTAACCTCCTTGTCGTCAAGACTAAGGAAGCCTCGGTGACCAATTCGTCCGGCCTTCACGGTGTGCCACGTCATGCCACGGATGTCCACTTTTTCAGCTGACCTTAGGGTGTGGGTGCCATCCCCAAGATTGTATCGCAATTGGACAAACCCAGATGTCAAAGAGAGACAGAAGAAATCTCCTGGTGAAAAAAAACAAAACATTTAATGCATATTTTTGATGGATGATGGGTGTAAAAAGAGCAATGCATTCTAATAATATGAATTTTAAATTCAGATGTATAAAAACTGAGTGTATTTATTTTAATGCCACAAATAGCTCTAACAAATAATGCTGCATACTCTCAACGTTTAAACGTTGATGTTTCAGCTTCCAAGCTTTATTACTCCACATCATATCAAAATCAAATGCCGCATTTTTTACTCCATTACATCCGTTTAGCTAGCAACCACTTGTTTTTTAGACTACATTATCTCATCCCTTTTTAATTGAATTAGTTCTTAATATTCTTTTCAGTTAGAATAAAGTTGAACTTTATTCTTATCCAAGAAAACAATGAGAGCTGTGTATAATTTATACCGTGTTGGCATGAGAGATAATATTGATTGTGGTAGTTGTACCATTCACACACTTTGTTTCTTTGTAATTAAATACATCAAGGGGTTAATTTGCTGACCTGCTCTGGCACTGAGATGCTGTGCAGTGTAGACGAGGATGCCATCGGGTGATAATGTCTGGAACTGCAGCTGCACAGCAGTCCTGTGCCTCACACTCATGGGTGGGAAGGACATCCATGAAGACTGGTTAGCGCTGAAGAATGGATCGCTGATGGCCACAGCTGAACAGGAAAAACAATATAGCAGCTCAGTAATTGAATTGTGAAGGTCCTGTCTTCTTTGATAAATAAAGAACAATTATAAAAATGCAGTTAGGTTTGATGGGTTTCGCGGCGCAACCTTTCTCGCAGTGGAGTCCCGCCGTCCCCAGGGGACACTGGCAGGTATATCCAATCGGCAGAGGGATGCAGGTGGAGCCGTGGGCACACAGAGGAGGGGGGCTGTGCTCCACATCACACACCGACACCGTCTCAGTACAGAGGGCTCCCTTCCATCCAAGCGGGCACTGGCAACTGCACACAGGAAGAGATAATAACACTTGGAAATATTATTTTGCTTTATTACCCTCAAACTAAGCAGATGACTGATGTCTCATCAAATGAAAGAATGCACAAGGGAAATCAACTGGTGTTTTCACTCAACAGTTGCGCTAGTATAGGTGACTGAAAAAGGCTGATAGAGTAAATCCAAAGATTTTCCACTTACTAAACAGATGAGCCAGAGTCCACGCATGTCCCACCGTTCATGCACTGAACATGAACGCAGGGGGTGACTCCACATTGACCTACACTGCGTCCAAACGTGGGATGACCCCAAGGCTGCCCCAGAGCCTGGAACTTTCTGTCTCTTCCGGTCCGAAACTGAACACCGAAAATGCACCCTTTGAAAAAGAGAACAAACCAAAATGTCAGAGGGACATCTCTCTGATACAGAACCTGAGGACATTTAATGCAACTGTTATCATACTTTCTTCACATGCATCCATTAGAAAACCTGGAGATGAAGTGTGCTGTTTCCAGAGCACACAGTTTGTGTTTACCATAGCTCCAAAACTTAAACATTTGGATGTAAAACAGAATGCATTTGCAAATCTCAGAAAATAACATCATATTCATTTACTAAATGCCTTAGTTGAATTATTTAACACCTTCAATGTTCTTTGAGAATAAAATACTCTTTTATGTGATTTGTAATTAATTACTACACTCTGATTTTATTAATAATTTGCATTAAGTCCCAACTAATGTTGTTTGGAGTTTTCAGTTATTACATCTGACTACACTGCGTTTCTCTGAATATTATCCATTAGTCTGAATGTTATGCAAATTTTTTAATTTGATGGGATAAAAGCTAAAGTGTCTATCGTTCACATCCAACATTTCTGAGTTTTTAAGTACATTCTTTTCCCACCATCTGTTATCCAGCATCTCTCTCATCATATTTGCTTTCCGCTATCATAATTCAATTTTATCAAGACAATATTTGCCTTGGCCTGCACTTCCAGAGCACAGGGCCCTCTATAAATATAAGGCCTGAAGACAACCTTCGTAGTCATCTGCACATGCACACTCCCTTCTCTCTGCTGCATTAGTCATTGGCATAAACAGGATGCAGGGGAAATGTCAAGCTCATTCATGAATATTCATGGACTGATGCTGTCTGCTTGGCAGACCCAAGTGATGGTTATGCTGCAAACACAGACCCATAAAAAAAAGCAAAGCAGATTCACAAGAAAGATGGGAAAAGATGGTTTAGTTTGTTTTAGCTGTGCACGCATCACACCGTACGAGAGGACAAAGGCTTGAATAGAGCATATCTAGTAAATGTATTTATCAGAGGAGTTAGAATTTGTCTATCTATCTATCTATCTATCTATCTATCTATCTATCTATCTATCT